AGCAGCCTTGACGTGCCATTACACATCTTCCAACCCTCACGTGCTTGACCGCTGGTTTATGTCCTAATGTTCTTTTCTTATAAGTATTACAGTTATATTGGAGTCCATCCTGATGACTTCATTTTATCCTAATCACCTCTTTAAAGTCCCCGCCTCTAAAGTCACACTCTGAGGTACTCGGGGTTAGTGCTTCAGCATGTGAATCGGAGGTGGGCACAGTTCAGCCCATAACACTTCGATAATCTCTCTCCTGATAATTTATCCTATGTAAATAATTTAAATAAAAAGGATGGTTTATATATAAAAATCATTCCTGTAGTGTTTTAGTAACAATTAAAATCAGCTGAAATTTTTATACTAGAAGCTAAATAACTTGTAACATCCATTTAATAAACTATTTTGCAGCCATCAAAATTTTCAAGGATGAAAATGATATAAAGACATTTTTTAAATTCTTAGCATATAATGAAAAAATGGAATACGAATCTCATATGAGTGTAGAAAAATATCTGTGCACATAGACAATTGAGAGGACAGGTGGGTGAGATAATTCTGTAGCAGCCATCTAGATACAGATGACTTTACTTTTTCAAACTATTTCTAAGTTTTTCTTTTCTTTCTCTTTATTTCAGAAAGAAAAATAAAGTGGGTTAGAATGAATAATGGTTGGTCACAGTACCAGGATTCTATGGAGTCTAATACCAGGTTTTTAGTACTTTCAGTTAGAATTTTAGTCAAAAATGAGAAAAATGAAGGAAACTTGACGCTTAAATTAATCTAGCAGCATAACAATGTGGTGATAATATCAAACTGCCTGAGAAGGCTTTGGACACCATGCACTCAGCTGTGCTGAAGGATCTCTCTCTGGCTGCCCTTGGCATCCGGCACAGGTGGCCTGGTGTGTGGTAAGGAACATCTTGACTTTCTGTGACCCTGGAGTATCTGTGCTCTGATCATCAGACTCCTGTGCTTTAAAATGCAGTTGTTGGAATGGGTTATTACAAAGGCCATTTCTTCTTTTACTTTCTATCTTGTCCCAAATATGCACAGAAAAATTGTTTATGCACTGTTTTCTTTAAAAATGACAATTATGAAGTATACTCTGGCTATTTTGTACTTCTTGCAAAACTACAACCAGATAGAAACTCAGAGAAAGGAAATAAAGTCACCCACTCCATTTTCCCAGCACTTGATTACAAGAAGCCAAACCAGAGCCCCCTCCTAAACCTTTCCCTGGTCACTTCCCAAGCTGAGTGCAGGTCACCAATCTCGGACTTGGCCTTTCTGTAGGGAACACTGGGGTGAGCCAGGGTCAGGGGAAACTTGCATTTAATTTTTGTGACTTCAGTCTTAGACTTTTCAGTGCGGACAGTGAGTAGCATATGGTAAGCTGCGGGCTTTTGGACAGTAGTCAGCTACTCTGCCCTTCTGCACTACCTATTCTTCCCCCTCTGGGGCTAGGGCAGCTTCTCAAAAGCTGGGTATGTTCAACTGGACATTGATCTGCAGGATTCTGTGGCTCTGCAGAGAAGCACGAGGTCAGGAGCGGCGAGAGGAGCAGCAGCGCCGGTGAGGGCAGAGCCCTGTCTCCCTCCAGCTGGATGAGTCTGGGCTCCTGCTCTAGGCTTCTTCCAGGCCCAGAGGAACGCTTAGCACATAAACTGCAAGAGTGACAAAGGTGCCTCAGCCTCGACACTGGTTCAGGGCACCCAAAGAGTTTGTGCACCTCTTTTCCATGCATTTTATCAGACTTGTCTGTGGCATCCTGCTACACTCTGCTCTCTCCTGGGGGTTAGGTGGAAGGATTCTTGGTTTTTAAGGGTGAACCAAAATAACAACATATACAGTAACTCAGATGCAGGGTGTGTGTGTGTGTTTGTGTGTGTGTGTGTGTGTTTGTGTGTGTGTGTGTGTGTGTGTGCGCGCGCGTACACAGGTGCGGGTAGAGGCGCCAGCCTGGAGTGAAAGTCTGTGAGCTTTGGAGTTATGTATTCATTCATGTGTGTGTAATTCAGTCCACAAATTTTGTGGAGCTCCTAACATGTGGTCACCATTTGGGGCACAGAAAGTGTGGAGGTGAACAGAGGAAACCAGGTCTCTGCCCTGTAGGAGCTCATATTCTGGAGGGGAACAGTAAGCACAGAAAGTGGGCCAGATGGGGCTCCTAGCCCAGCTCTGCTGTGGCACAGCACATGACAACCAACACCCGGCTTTGACCTCACTGAACCTTCATCTGTTACATGAGGTTAAAACTGACTTGAGGGATGTCTGAAGGCTTAGAGGCAAAGTGCCTCTCAAGGTTGTGTTGTGCAGACACTGTAGTGAGTGCAGGGGCCCCGTGGGGTTTAGATTCCCGTTGGCTTGGTGTGAGGGATGTGAATGGAAGAAGACGTGCAGCACCCCCGGGCAGCCCCACAGCAGAGGGAACCCTCGTGCCCTCAGCAGAGAAGCGGGCCTGTGCACCAGGTGCTTTTCCTGCCCTGTAGCAGGAAGTGAAACAAAAGCAAACAAATGAAGCTAAATTGAGTTCAACCTAAGCGTCTTCCTGGGTGAAAGGAGGGTGAGCTATGTGCAAGCGTTCATAAAATTACAGGCCAAAGACAAGACGTCAAGGGTTTGCAGAAAGAGTCTTCATTCTCGAGTCTAACTCCATTCAGATGCTCTGCAGAGATAGGGTCTTTATCATGTTCTTGTGCAGTTCACAAAAATGTGACAGAGTTTAATAATGTAGGTTCACTCAGCCATTTAACAAATGTTAATTAAAATGGAAGCTGAAATACAAAGATGATAAAGCCTCTGTGCCCTCAAGAATCTCCCATTCTGGCAGGAGAGACAGACATGCGAGTTACTGTAAGGCAGCAGGACGGGGCGTGTGTTGGGTGCCTTGGGAGAACAGAGGAAGGAGCAATCAGCATGGCCAAGTTAGAGAAGATGGCATTGGAGCCAATGCTTACGTTGTCCAAGACAGTCCCCAGGATATTGGAGAGGTTCGTGCTATTGGACAGTGGGCAGTGGCTTTTATTCTCAGTATTCTCTTGTTTTAATATTTGCAGACACAGTTACCTTCTCATCTTCAATAGTACACAGAACACGCTGTGTGCACTTGTAGAGTATAGTTGGTCTACACATTAGTTAATTGGCTTTGACATCATTTCTGAGGGTCCTTATTTTTAAAAGTGCACTTTGAGAACTGGCATTGAGAAGAACCTGCCATGAAGCTGTTTGGTGATACCCCAGTGTGAATAAGAAGTTCTGAACTTTGATGTTTGATCAGTATTGACTTGATTCTACACAAAAATGTGGACAAAAATATAAAATAGAGAAATATAAACTATCAAAGCCTTGGAAAACCATCTATACACTTAGAAGATAAGACCGGGCAGAGAGATAGTACAGAGAATATGCAAGCCAAAAGAACCTATGAAAACATGTTTTTAAAAGGCAAGGTTCGTTTGAGCTCCCTAGAGGCTCAAGCAAGAACAACTTAAAGTCCTTGTGCCAGTTACCCTGTTTATATCAGAGGGATTGAGGGACATTTTGTTTTTTCAGGAAGTAGGACCAAAGGTTTTCTTGTTCTGAAAAGAAGTGTTAAATATGCTTCTACATTAAGAGAGATTTAAGGAATATGGGTCTTGGTGAAGGTATAAATGAAATGGCAAATTCACAGCAATGGCAAGAGCCCAGCTTTCATGGCTGACCTAAGTTCAGATCCTGGCTCTACAAGTTACTGGCTCCCGTGTTAAGCAAAGTTCTTATACTTCAAATTCCCTATCTGTAAAATGAAAGGCAAAAGTACCAGTTTCACAGGGTTGGACTGGAAGAGCTCAATAAACTACTCCTGGAACACTGTTTAACATAATTTCTGGCTCTCAGTGTACAGGAATGGTAGTAATTCAAGCAGGTTCTTGGTATGTGGCCATGTCTTATGTTAAGAGGAAAGCACGTCTGTCTCCCGTGTCTGTGACCTCAGAGATGCTTATTCCTACACATGCTAACTGGAGCAGATATTGTTAAATCTGTGCAAAGGTGCATATGATAATAAGCACGAAATGGTACTGCGTAACAACCAGGTAGAGAGTGTGATGAGACCGAGGGAGAGACGGACAAAGCAAGTGCACTCACATTTTGCCTGTCTTATTTCTTGAAGGTGAATGATTCAAACTGTGACCAAGAACTTCTTTCCCTCCTCCTGGATGCCAAGCTGCTGGTGAAGTGTATCTCCACTCCCTACTATCCGCACATCATCAACCACCTCTTGTCCAGCCCCCAGCAAGGACGCTGGGATGCCGAGGAGTTGGCCCGACACCTGCGGGAGGCTGGTCACGATGCCCAGGCTGGGTCACTCCTCCTGGCTGTGAGGGGGACTCACCGGGCCTTGAGAACTTTCAGCACAGCCCTCTATGCAGGGCAGCACTGGGTGTGAGCAGCCTTCCCATGGCCCGTGCACCTTTGTGAAAAGCGCATCCAGAGCTGCATGCTGACCCCAGAGCCATATCCGTGCCTATGATTATTGTCAGTGATTCCAACAAATAAAGATGTATATAATCATGAGCAACTGCCATTTTTTAAAACATTTTTTTTCTTTTTTATACCAACTACTTAGCATCTTTCTTATTGACTAAGAGAATCCTCTTCCCCTCCTTTTGAACCTACCTTGTCTGGATAGAGTATAGTTAAAGAAGTATCTAAAACTGCAGTTCAGAACTTAGATGTGTGGTGGGTAGGGTTGTGCTGGAGAGGGAGAGAGTGTGTGAAATGGCTGCTGGCTGAGGCAGGAGTTGCCAGGGAGAGGAAGGGTGGCCCTGGAATCCAGTCTCCTTGGCGATTGTCTCACTCCTCCAAACCTCAGGCTATCATGTGTAAAGACGAGGGTCATATTGTTTATCTCATAAAGTTATTGAGTATATATGTGAGATTGTGTGTCGAGAGCTGTCAGATGTATAGTGGGGGCCCAAGAAATGCCAACTCTCCTGCCCCACTGGTGGTGCAATATGCGAATTGTGCTTTAAGGCCATAGAGATGATCAGTGGTAAGACACGATGGGTGTTAGAGGCCTCCACAATTTATCATACCAACATATGAGACTGACACATTTGTATGTCCATAAAACCTACCTCTGGTCATTTCCACATTGCTCTGACAAAGCCAGCAGGCTGAATGTGCTGTGGCTCCCTGTGGGTCTCTGACATATGGCCTATTGGGAGCCCCATCTCCACATCTAGCTGGTCGGGTCCACCCTCTAAGAATAATGCCATTTCACCTCCCAGTCGATCCCCACCACCATCATCAGCCTCACCACATTTCTGCTCTTCTGTGTGTAGCTGCGATCCTCTGACACAGTTCTTGATCATCTTTGGAGCTGATTCATTGCATAATAGCTCTACCCCAATACTGAGTGCTTTGCCCAAACCTCCAGCAGCTCCTGGAATTTGGGAATGGCTTGCACAAGTATCTGGCCTACTTCAGAGGAATGGAGGCAGCATATTTCTTTTAACTTAGGTAATATCTGTCCAGACAGACACACGAGGCCATAAAGCCTTCCTAGTACTCTGATGGCAGCAGCTGTGCCCGATGGCATTGACCAGGCCACTTTCAGGACGTGTACCCACCTGGAACTTAGGTTTTCATCAGCCTTACAGCTAACCTCCACCATTCCTGGTGAGATAACAGTCTGTTTTAACACAATCTCACAATCTTTTTCATCAAATTGCAGTATTACAGTCGTGATTAGTGTGACACCTGAGGTTTACAGATTAGTAAACAGAGCCCCAGAGGGCAAAAGTGACCTGCTCAAGGTCAGCAGTGAGTGGTAATTCTCCATGTTTCCAGCCCCAACTCTGCAATGCTTGTGAGGACAGGATCCCCTCATGTGAACGACATTGCTTTGACTGATTTGTGTCTTCAATCACCAGAAGCCAAATTTGCATGGACTAAATGGTTTCTATGGGGCAAAAAGAGCAAGAAAAAGCAAAATACGAGGAATTCAGTCAAGACTTATACCAACTGCATAAATATTTTAGATTATCGAGTTAGTATTTATGTTGCTGTTTGGCATGTTAACCATAAATGCTAGATGAAGTAAAAAAATATGTTGTCTTTCTTACTGTGAAAAGTTCCTATCAGGTATCTGAAACCTTTCTCTTTGAAAGCAAATCAGAATGAGAAAGGGCTTCGCTGGCCCTCACTCATACTCCGATTCTGTAGCTTTGCTTCCTGGGAAGGAGACCCAAGGGTGAGCCAGTGTAAGGAGTGAGCCTTTGGTTTCTTAGTTGTGAGCACTGTGAGGCCTCATCTCTCTGAGCCTCGGTTTTCCCATCCATTAGTAGGGCTAATAATGCCTTACAAAGTTACTAATGACTAATTAGTAATTTTCTCAAAGTCACACAGCTAGTAAGTAAAGGAACCATGGTGCAAACTCAGATACCCAGCCCTGGGCCATACCGCTGTGCTGACTCCCCCATCATAGTGCTTCTCCATCCATCTGCTGAGGAACTGGCAGGTGTCCTCCAGGGCACTAGGTGGCGCTCTGCTCTATTCGCCATCCCTCCTTTCATTCATGAACTGATAATATCATTGCAAATGGGGGGAGTGACGTGTCCCCTGACTCCTCCCAGCTGTCTACTGCGGTCCCAGCCTTCCCAAGGGTGGAGCACACGTCCGTCATCCTCTGTCTCCTCCAGAGCTGTAATACAGAAATGTTCAAATGCTCCCATTTCTCACAGAAGGCCTAGGGGCCTTCATTCAAACCTTCCCTAGTACCCCAGACTTCCCAGAAGATGTCTAGATTTGATCACCATTAACATTCTCTGTATTACTATTACCATTATGATTGTTGTTATTTTGGCATCACCTAGCTTACTAAAGGAAGGACAAAGCCTTCTAAAGCGTTAGTATCCACTTTGAAGGCCATCTGGACCAGTGGTGATCAATCCTGACTGCATATTAGAATCCCCCAAGGAGAAGATAAAGCAGATGGGTCCTGAGTCCCTCGCCCGCCCCTTCCACTCTGACCGGTTAAGTCAGATGTAGGGTATGGGGGCAGGTAACACTGAATCACAAGCAGTCGGGAGAAATGGATTAATGCCACTGGGTTCTCACCGTTTCTTGGCCGTGTCTCGGCCCACTTTCCTTTCACGGTCCAAACGTGGCCCATTTTCTGCTGACCAGTTCCACCAGGGAAAGGTTTGTTGGGAACAGAGGCTGCTGCAGTCCTTGGCTCTGGAAGTGATCTGTCAACTGCATCTCTTTCCCCAGCTCTCATGCATGAGGGTGTGCGGGAGCTGGCTCTGAAAAGAAGGGTCCAATTTTAAAAAGAAATGAACAGTACCCGTTGCTTTTTTAACCTGTGACTAAATTTAGATCTGGAGTGGAGGCTGTTTCCCCGAGTCAGCTCCCTTCCCTGAGCCGGAATAGCATCAGCCCCATAGTACAGGATATGTTAAGTTTCCCCCTCACCTTGAAAACTGGGGCTTATCTTTTTGGAAAGAAAACTCATTATGCTAAATGTAGCAAGAGAGCATTCAAATGCAAGTTCACTGTGTTCTTTGGAGAGAGGCTGCATTTTTCTCCAGTTAACTGTAAACGCAGCAGCTCAGGACTCTAATTTAGCTCCAACAGCTGGGGATTCAGTATCTTTCTAATAACTCCAAACTCATTATAAGCTGAAGATGGCTTACACAATGAGAAAATAGGAAAATAGACTAATGGGTGTTCCAGGGCTTGAAAGGAAGGAAAGGAAGCTTCTTGTTTGAGTACCTGTAGAGTAATTTTCTCTCCACCAGTTCTGGTAGATAAGAAAAGGAAGGCTTGGTTTCCTTCTGTTCTAATGAACCCGGAGTTCTTAGACTGGAGACTTTCACTGCAAACTTGAGAACCTTAAGTGTTGCAACCTGGTCACAGCCATGAGCAGGAATCATGTGCATCAAACTATTGCTAGTAAAATGAAAAGTGGCTCTGACTTTGATGCCAGGTTAGACTGCTGGAGAGAGAGTTTCTCTCCCCTGTGGCTGTCAGAGTCCTGGAAGGCTGCCTCTGGGCACATGTTTCAGAAACCAGAGCCTTCAGCACTGGTAGGTAGTGAGGGAAGCCATGGGCTGTGTGACTCAAATGACCCTGAGAAGTTGTGAAGCTGGAGTTATCCTGATGCTTAGCCAGCATGGAAAGGGGCCAGATTGGAATTTCACTCTGCTGTAAGTAACCTGGAGCCAGAAGGAACTCGGCTGCCTTGGCGAGCCAAGTGACTGCTGCTGAGGCTGCCTGGGAAGAGTGCACTGGACTGCGGTTGGGGATCTGGGTCTGAGAGCTGGCCCAGCCAATTGATGACCGTGGACAATTTCATTTCTTGGCTTTCTCTGTTTTCTGTTCACGCCTCATTGTCGTGAGACTCAAATTCAGTAGGGGTATGCTTCCACAGTGCCCGGCAGAGAGGGAAGACGGGTGCTGCAGGGTGAGGGAGCCCAGCAAGCCAGAGAAAGCAGATCATCTGAGTTCTGCGCAGCCAGCAAGTAGACTCTAATTCCTAAGGCAACATCACTAATCTCCCTGTTGTGCCCTGTCTTTCTTTTGAGGATTGAATGATTGAATCGTTAAGAACTCCCTACTGTGCCTGAGCGCCTGAGTGATCAGGACCCTCAGGGCTATGCCTTTCTGGGAAGGAGGCAGCCAGTTGTCTCGCAAACCAGGAGACATTGACATCCCAAAGCAGCCCGGTGGCAGAAGTGCCCCACAAACACCGCCAGGGGCGCTCGTAGAAGAGGGATGAACTTTGTCTTCTAGGTACTCGAAGTCTCTTCTCTCCTTGTCCAAGTTAGTCCTCCTATTTACAACTTTCTTTTTTCCAGGACGTGGGAAAAGGCATCCTCCTGGCTTTTGGTAAACTTGCTTGTAGCTCATGTTTTACAACCCTTTTATGTGAACCAGAAGATATTTTGCTCTTCACTAGGCAATAAAAATTATATAAGCTCCATATATTGAGCACCTGTGTGTATGCAAAGACTCTTAGACACAATAGCCACTGACCACTTGAGCAGGGAAAGTAGGTAGTACCCTGCTTTTATTTATGAGAAAACCAGCTCGGAGGGGTTAATTAACTTGACAAAGGTCTCCTGAACATGGAGAATCAGGATTTGAATTCATGTCAATCTGATTCCAAAGCCCAACTTTTGCACAGTTCCACCCTCCCTGAGGATTCGGGCTTTATGTGCCTGACTGTCTTCACGGGTATGCACTTTGATCAAGGAGAATGCCCACAGCCAGAGGGCCAGCAACCCATTGTCTTCTCGCATAGAACAGAGAATACAAATTATAGCCAGGATCTGTCCTCCTAAAGAGAAGTTCTCTGAAGCTTTTCACTTTAAGTTCTTATCAAAGTGGAAGTTTTGTCTTCTTGAGCTGGAGAAGGGATGTTTCCATTCAGAAAGAAAAAACACCTCTTAACTCCAGGTGGCTTCACACGCTTGCTGGAAATTCCAGTTTTCCGCACGCTGACAAAGCTCAGTCAGGATGCTACCACTGGATCTTTTCAAACTAACCCTGATAGAA